GCGGCTGGCGGGCTCGCTCCCTGCCTCGCTCTCTCAGCCCGCCTCGGCCTCGTCGCGCCGCCCGGCCCTGCCCGGCAAACGCCCTCCCGTCTCCTCTCCGCGCTGCCCGGCGAGGCGGCGGGCGGTCACACGCGGCGCCGGCGCCCCCCGCCGCAACCTCTCGCCCTTGAAGGGAAAGCGCCGAGCGGGGCTGGCTTTATATAGCGGCGCCGGCAACTTCCCCCTCCTCACGGGAGCCCGGCCTCAGCTCAGCCCAGCCAGCCCCGCATTATAGGCCGCGCGCGTCCCTCTCGCTGGTTATCTCGCACACGCCCCCTCCTCACGGAGGGGAAAGGCCTGGTAGCCGGCGGCCCTGGGTTTAAAACGCCAAGAAAAAAAACCACCACCCTCTAGTGCCAAAAGCATCCTCTGCCTCCTTTTCTCCAAATCTCCTTTCTCCCAGTCCTTCCTTGCGAGGCGCCTCCCTCACGTCTCTGGCCCGCTTTTTAAAAATTATTATTATTATTTGATTTGAGTCACACGCGCGCTTTTCTTCCCATTTCCCCCTCCTTTTCGCTTATTCGCCTGTGTGGGGCGGCTTGGACCTCCCCGTCTCTCCAGCCGTGTGGGCTCCTCTTCCACTTGAAGCGGCTGCCTGATTTGATAGGATTCAAAAGTTCCCTTTCCTTCCCCCCCATCCACCCCTCCTTTGTGTGAGAAGTGTGGGCATAAAACAGGAGGAGGGGGTCGAAGATGTGCAGAATGGTGTGTGGCTTCGGCTGATGGTATTTCTGGATCTCCCTCTTTTCTTTTCTTTTTAAGTCATCCCCTGTTCTAGATCTATCGAGCAATTTCTCATAGCAGAATGAAGTGGGGTTTTTTTCCCAAGGTTCTGATGTTTTGAAATAGGAAATACCTTTTTTCCTTCCTCCACGATGAGCTCTTTATATCAGGTGGGGGGGTCCCCTTTATTCAGGCAGTTGTGACCTTGACTACTCTGATTTATGTCCCTCCTCATGTCAGCCCCAGCTAAAGTTACTAGGATTCACAGTGTTCGGCTAGCAGCGCCTGCCTCCCAAATCCCTCTTATAGGGTTATCACTGATCCTTTTGTGTTACAGGCCACCTTTATTAGCGGCCTGTCTTCAGGCTGACAAAAGAGACTCGTGGCACCTTAAAGACTAATGAATTTATTGTGGTATAAGCTTTCTTAAGCCAGAGCACTTCTTGTCAGATGCACGTCTTCGGGCTGTGACTGGACTATTCCCTAAAGCTGCCAGATACGATCTTCCTTTTCTCCTCCCGGTATTGCCCAGAAATACCTTATGGACAACAATATCAAAATGAAAGATCGATTGTAAGTTTCCTTTTCAGGCTCAGGAAGGTCCCCACTCGTTTTCAAAAATCACCTTTGTGTGTCTTCTTCTCACCCCCTCCCCTCTTAAATTTGTCTGGAAATATTTAACTTCCAGGCTGTGCGAGTCACCATCTCCCTTGCAGAGATACCTTATGTCGTTTCTGCCCTTTATTAATTATTTCTGTGTTTAGCCCACCTCATCCTGAGGACTCGGGATAGGTGGCAATACTTTATTCTATAATTTATACTACTAATGAGTCTTTTAAAGCAGTAAATATTGGGAGGGGGGTGGATGACAAAACCCATAAAGGATGGTTGATTAGGAAACCCACAAAGGATGGATGATTAGAAAAAATCAACCCATCTCAAAACCTCAGATTTTTGATTGATTGTGGCTAGTCCCAGTTTGAGGGTAGAAGGATGGGGGGGGGGCAACGAAGGGAAGTTATGCGGATTTTCTCTCCCTCTCTATTTCATCCTGATAATTTTATGTCGTAGTTATTAGACTAGAGCTTTTCTTGCTGCCATCAGTAAGTGTCAACGCACAGTGGGGATTTCAAATGCCTGTCTGGGTGGCTGGGAGGGGGTCTGTGCTGTTTGCGGCAGGTAACTGATTTAGGTTCCAATTAAGGATTGGCTGAGGAGATAAGAAAAATAGAAAAGCATAAAGGAAGCCACTAACCTATGCGCTGTGCATTTGTCTTCCCCTTTTTTGCAGCCTTTCTTGAATTTGGGTTTAAGATGCTTGACTCTGCAAACAGAGCTGTGTTATAAACAAGCTGTGTAAATGCGTGTGTGGGGAGGGGATGGGATGGGAGATGAAACATGGGGGGGGCCACCTATTTGAACTGCTGTGCTCCCAGAAGTTCATCATGGACCAAAAAAAAAAACAGAGTAGGTTCCTTTTGAAATGTCATAATGACTATTAACCCTTTATTCTCTAGAGACAGCTGTAAAACATTAAACAAGAGGTGCTTCATGCTTTGAACAGGCCCCACACGGAGAGCAAGAGAGAGACCATGCTCTTATTTTGAGCACCATTAGGAAAAAAAAGTCCATATGATATATAAGCCTATTCAGGTGCCCAGAAGAAAATAATACATTCCACACCCTGCTGTCCAAGTGTTGAAGATCAGACTCAATAGTGTGAACTCATTTCATGCCCTGATCATGCCTCTGTCATTAGCATTCCATTTTATTTCAGCATTTTGCACTCCACCCTAACCCCTCTGCTATTTGGGATAACTAGTCAATTTTCTTAGTAATTGCTGCCCTCACAACAGTTACAAGAGATCTCACTCGAGTCCTGTTGAATGACATAAAAAGAAGGAAGTTTAGCTGTGGCAGGAACAACAATGGTGATAAGAGGCAGTGTGCTACTTACCAAAGTCCAGTTTGACTGGTAACAATAATTAGAGGAGAGCAGTTATTCCCGCCTATTATGTTGTTATGTTTCTGCTTCCTTTTACCTTTGTCCTGTGTGCCGCTCTCGCAGCAGAATTACTAGGGCTGTAATTGCCTCTGAGCAAAGCAAAAAAAACCCTGCTACTCTTATAATCTGTACAAATAGTACAGTTACCACTAAAATCTGGAATAATTCTTCAAGGCATGATGTAAACATGAAACAAACAGCCCAGTCTTAATCCTGTTTCCTCAGTGGGATTTCAAGGGTGCAATACACTTTTGAAGTTTGGCTTAGTCCAGGGGTGGATCCCTGGCCAGTTTCTAAGTCGACTGCCCAGTACCCTGTTAAGATTCCTGAAAATAATTCTGCAGTAGCTGAATTGTGATCCGTTCTGAAAAAGGCATGTTCTTAAGTAAGTGCATGTTTCTAATGTGGGAGGAGGAGACTTGGCTCAATCCCTGGGATCTCCAGTTATAAATATATCAACCAGTAGGTGTTGAGAGACACATTTCTCCACTAGTCAGAGAGCAATCAAGAGATCTTACTTGTTCTGACAACTTTTGTAGGTCCGTGTTTATAAAACTTTCATCCTGCCTTTCCAACAAACAGCACACACACACACCCCTTTATTATCCCAGTCTTTAGGAAGATTATGCTGAGATTGTGATTGAATGAACATGCTTTGTGGCTGAGGAGTGACTCGAACCCAGATCTCTCCGGCTTAAGTCCAACACACTCCTACTATACCACATCCTTACCTATTGGTACATCCTTAATGCGCGCTCTTGGTTTTTAAGTTTAAAGTATATTGGTGTACCAAAAGCCGCACAAGGTTCAAACTGCATCATTTATCTCTCTGTGTTAAGTGCCGTCAGGTCTTTTCTGACTTATGGCAACGCTATAAATTAATGACCACCGAAACTTCCCTAGCATCATTCCTAACTTAGTAAAATTCTTGGCAGTTATTTTACAAAGCAAAAGTAGATTATTTGGGGACATTCACAGCAGGGATGCTAGATCCATTGCTGTCTTCAGTTTGCATCCTGCTCACAGGTAGCAGTCATTGAAGCCAAACATTGAACGCACTGCTCAGCTGTAGCTGAACAGCTCAAATGTGTCCAATTACAGAAAGCTAAAGGTGCGCGTCAAATTATGTGCTGCGTTGCTACAGCTGTTTCCCACCATCACAGCTGCTTGCCCCTCCAAGTTGCTAAAGGACACACTGTTAAAAGAAAAGAAAACCGTTTGACATTTTGAACACAGATATGTCTGTAGATCTAATGGTAGCACCTCTGAATGCCGGTTCTCACATATGCATTATTGCACAGCATTAGAAGAACTGTAGTTCCTACATACACACACACAAAGTCATGAAGAACTTGGGGGTTGCACTA